GCCTTTCCTAGTCGCTCTTAAGAAGTATATAAAAGGACAGGTATGAAAACTGTAAAACCGGTTAAGGGTAATCCACTTTCTCTTAAGTCCCTTACTTATTGTTCGATGCCAGGTCCTTTACCTTGGGGGAATGCTTGACTTTCAAACTTCCTGAGAAGCGGGAAAAGTAGGGTGAAATATGACAGTGATGGGACTGGTACGAGAAAAATTAGAATTGCAACCACAGTTTCATAAAGCACTTGGTCAGTGGTTGGTATTCACATAGTGCAACCTTTTTAGTTGTAAAAAAGGGTAATTAGTGGATAGCTGGCGGACTGTTTTGTTTAAAGTTGTGGTATCTGAGAGTCTGGTAAATGTAGCTTATGAACTCGGTCGAATTTTCTGTAAAAAGAAAAATAAGCCATTGGTATTTACAGCGAACGACTTTGTCATTCCAGTGATTGAACCGACATTTCCGGTTGACATAGTATGCTCAGCCGTGGTTATTTCATCTCACAAAAATTTGCAATAAAAAATCAAAGATTGGTTAAACAATGAGGCAAGCAATAGAGAACTTTACAAAGCCAGCTTTTATTTCGTGACCATTGGTGCGTGTGTGTTTCCTGTTTGATTTTTTTTCAACAGTAATTTGTCTGTGAGCATTTCGGTTCATTCTGGTCTCCACGTAATGCGAAGAGTGTTGCAGAAAACCTCCCCACTATGTTATTAAGCCAAAGCGGCTCGCTCCACTTTAATCATAGGAATCATAAGTCAGTAAAGAGTGATGCTCTTTGAAAAAAGTCATGATTGATGCGTAGGTAAATAGACTGAAGAATTTAATTTTTTTTAACTCTTGTCATATGACGCAGAGCATTGCAGTCTTCTTTGCATTATTTTCATTGTACTCTTTAGATAAGACAGTTTGTAATTGCTCAACTTTCATGTGATCCGTGCATCATTTCGCCAAAATAATTGTGCATTGGGCTGGAATAATGACCAATGTTGAATGAGAACACAGGCAATATCGATGTTCGATTAAATAATTCATTTTTTTTATGCACTCTCGTACTCTCGTCGATTGTAAGGAGTTCCTAGCCCCTGAAAGAATGATATTTTCAACTATTCGTAAATTTGAACCACGCTAAAAATTCAGGAAAATGCCAGTCTCTTTCGTAATAGCGGAATAACGGCGCGGAAATGGCGCGAGTCAAACGGAAGTGATGTCTTTACTTCAAGGAGGTTATTGTTAACACGAGGAACGACGCTTGATTATTTTATTCCCACTTCTTCGTTGAAAGAAATCATTTTGGATTGTACGTGGATGGAATAAATCACATAACATCACTCTGTGAGGTAAAGTAGTTTTCGTACTGAAAATCACCTTAAATGGGAATGATTCAGGTTATTCATAATTATCTTCTTTTATCCTCTTAGAAATACCAGCATTGTAAGTAATTTTATAAGTTTAGAGGGAGCCTCAAGATTTCATTTTACCTAGTAGCTATCTGACGGACTTTGACCACCAATATTCAAGTTTCATGTTGATGATCCTATGTGGTCAAATATCGTCTTCTGATCTGAAGCCAAACTTTGCATCTTGCTATCATTCGAAATAAGAAATCAACCTACGAAGTTTTATTTAGAATCGAGTACTAAACAAGATCATATTAGTGTTATCTGTAAAGTAGCTCTTAGCTCGATGAGTAAACGAATTTCTTTTCCCCTTTTTTTTTTTTTTTTTTTTGCCAGAGGACGATATATCTGTAAGCAATTCAAATTGTACATCACCTAATATAATGGTTTCTAAATCATGTGAAACATCTCACGTAATTTTTCTTATGAATTCTTCGTTGAATCTTTAGCTTTGACCATTCATCAGTTATTCTCAATAATGCATTCCCTCCGTTCTAAAACCTGAAGAAATTCGAAACATAAAAATTGTTATTGGTGTTTATATTTCCAGCGAAATGCCTCTCCTTCCTTGATATACTTCGAGTTATTATGTAATATTTCTTTGACGATCACCAAGGAAGTAGGAACAGAATACTGAAGCAGTGATATACATGATAAAGACTTCAAAATACACCTCTAATATCAGACAATAAACGGTGAGATTTAAAAGTCACGCCACTTTCAATACGATAGTAAACAATTAGCCGGTGACGTCACGGCCCTACCCACCGCTTGACGTCATCAGCGCGTGACAGGGCATCTATTGAAAATAGCCGATGATAGAATCACCGCTTCCAAAATGGAATAAAATTAACGAAACACAAGAACAATTATGTACATAATAATTTATTCTGGAGTCATCTCCCTTCGTATTTGATGTGTGTGTTGATGTTATTTTTACATATCGTAGCTTTTCAGTTAAGAAGTTATACGTTGCTCCTGGCTATTTAATCTGTCAAATTTCTAGAATTCAAGATTTGCCGGTAAGAAAGTAATTGAAATAATTTAACCACAAATAAAGAGTTATTTACTGCAAAACAACAGGAGGATTATTTATTTATATCCCAATTCAATCAATGGATTACGTTAAAAGCTGAAATTTAATCCTCTATGAAAATAATCACAATAGGTAAACGTTTAAGGGCTGTGGTGTAATTTACTGCCATAATCTGGTTAACCTCATGATTTGTCGTAAACAGTTCACAAATCCGTGCGACCTCGCTCCTCAATATGCTCACAGAGGTTAATGCATGGACTCGGAAGCGTCTGTGCGATATTTGTTGTGGCGCTTTGCTTTTCCTGTTAGCTTCCTCTGCGTTCCTTCACAGCCACCTAAACAAAAAGCTTAAGAGTTTGGTACATATTCAGCTTACTCTTGTGAAATTTGACCACTTGGGACTGTTATTACCATGCATTTGATTCACGAATGATTCTTAAATTTCATATGCTATAAATATCTGACTTTAAGGTAATCCTATTATGATTTCAGTCTAAAACGAAAACATGTTGTTTTTACAAAATGAAACGTTTTACTAGTTCACAGGTCATCGCAATGTTAGAAGCTATTTATGGCGTAGTTATCTAAATCTGAGTAGATAAGAAGTTGATCTTGTTGTGACGAAGATATTTTTAGTCTTCAAGCACATGGAATAAGGAATCTTTTTTTTTTTTTATTAAAAAAAAAGGGGGAATGGCCTAACGCCAGCAAACAAATAGGTTTTGCCTGAGTAACTATCGGACGGATTCTTGTTTGGAAATTTGATGAATAAAGCCATCAGAAAATTGAAAATCAAAACTCCCAAGTTTGAGAGTGATGTATAATGGCGCAAAATTACTAACTCTGTCAATAGTATAGCTGTGCTTTTTGAATTTTGCAATTTTATTGTTTTGAGGATGAATATATCATGACTGCTGGTAGAAGCTACATATTTAGGATACTGACTAGAAGTTTGCGTTGTCGATTTTCCATGCATGTTCGAGTTCTTAAGAGCCATCAGCTTTTCAACAAAGGAACAGTGCAACTTAGCCATGTTTTTCTGTAAAGAAACTCTGTCTTTCATATAGAACAAGTCAATATTTTACACTATTCAGATTGATTTACAACAATAAGGACATAATTTCTTTCTGCACGCATTTGCAGCACTACTCTGAGGAAAACAAAATCAAATTTTATTTATTTGGTCAAATGAACTTTTCAGTATTTTTAAGTTAAAACAAAACCACTGACGCGGGATTAGGATGGAATGTAACAAGAAAGGGAAAGGAACAAATGAAAAATATAAATCGAGTTTTCATTTCCACTACGCTCCTTAGCAGCTTTAGCAAGTTGTACGAGAAATTTTACTCGCTAACCGCATGAGAATCATTTAGAGCACCCGTTTATCCTTGCAATAACGTCATTGAAGTTAAAATTGAGATTGCACCTAATGTACGATGTTCCACTGAAATATGAAGTTGAATTGTACATTAGCAACAAGCCCATAACAAAATATTTTTGTGAGGTAAATATGGATGACATCATGACTAATTCATTGCGTATATATGCGTGACAGTGTCTACCATTAGACAAACGTACGCAATCCTTGAATACGTAAAATTCATTAACGTCTGAACGCCATCTATGTAACGCATATATCTATAGTCCTTGTAATCCGTTGTTAATTTTACCTTGTTTGCGTTATACGGATATGTTTATCTAAAGAGTTTATCACCACGAAGGGAAATAAGCTATCAACACAAGATGTGGTCAAGATTTATAAAACCTCTGTTTACCGGCCTATTCTAATATTCGGTGTTCTTTCGATTCCTAATAAAATATAGCTGCGTGGGTTGGGAAAAAAACATTTCTTGAGAGCATGAAGAGATCTGGCTTATAGGTTCCTGTCGAAGCCGATCTTTGTGTGTAATTTGGGTTCGAAATGCGTGAGCTAAGAAGTATCACTAAAAATATACTTTTTCCTTGTAGCGATGACTTAATCGTAAAAAATTCAAACATGAGTTGTGAATAATTGTTCAACGATGAAAAATCTAAGACAGTGTGTAGAAGAATGAGTTGTATGAGTGACATCAGTAAAGTTTTATGTGACATCCTAATAGTAATTGTTTTATTAACCTATATAATATTGGAGGAAGAGTAACTAAGGAAAATCGTACAAAGATAATGATCGCCGGAAAAACCCCAAAATTTTGATCGGCAATGGCGGTTTTCGATGGTGTACATGGAATACGATAAGGTTCATGAATCAGTTTTTACAAATTAAACAGGGATAGCCGGCTGACTGATTATTGCCTATAGATTCTACGCAGCTAAATTGTAATATGGTGTCAGTTCCTCTTGAAAGAGTTTGCAGCCAAATTAGGATCCACAGAAAATATCTGTGATTGTTAGTGACACCATCACAGTAACAAGTTTTACTCCATAGTTTGATTACGTCAGATAATTGCTGAACTAAAAAGGACAATTGCAACTTGCGTAACTTCCTAAATGAACGTTATTACGTCTTATCCAAAGCTAGCAGCCGAACTATATTCTGAACCATCAAACTGTAATATAGTTGAGTTTAATTGAGGGAATGTTTAGCCATTTTTGGAATGAGTTCCCATGGCTATTGATGTGTCGATATTTTAAGCTTTATCTGTGTTGTTACACTGTTCATGAAAATAAAATTATTTTTCTGAACTTATCTACCGAGCTTGCTTACACATAAACAACAGGACTCATCTCTAGTTGTTCACTCTCTGATCCCTGAAATGTTATAACCAACAAGGTATCTTCACGCCCAGAAAAGTTCTAAATAAGTAAAAACTGCAATTCAATCAGTTTTCCTTTTAATTGCGTTTCCAGTTCGTTTATGTCCCTGAGATGTGATTTTAATCCTTAAAATTAGCAGTGCAAAATCAATAATCAAATCATAATAAATGTATGATCTTAAAAATAACCTTTGGAGTTTCTCTCAATAATTAGACTTGGTCATAAGTTTTATTCCACTTAGCTCGTTGGTTGTCAAACTTAGATAAGAAGAAAGTTACTACATATGTAACGATGGACTTCTCGTGTCTCATCAAGGAGGCGATGTGGCCGTCAACACGGCGAGAGAACGATACCATACTCTTCGTTGTTAACCACCTGTACATACTGTGGCAACTGTTTCTAGCTATATAGTTTGTGGCCATTTTGCTCGACTCTAGGCCGGAAAAACAATCAGCAGCCAGCTAAATATTACGTTTGATTTGCACATAAGTTGAGCAAGTTGTTTTTACAGGAAATTGCCCAACATTTATCAAAGATTTGATTGCTTTCCCATGCAAATTTGAATGAAAGTTTATGTAAAAAATCTGTTTAAGCAAAATAATCCTTGAAAGAGTTCTCTCATGTACCGATTTTAAGCTAGTTGTTCTACTTTTTCTGTGTTCTAATCGTCAATTAGGGAACATGAATAGAAAACTTAAGCATGTAAAAATTATGCCCTTTGAATTACTCTTGCAAATCTGTATTTCTATAGTTCAGATAAGATTTACATTTAATCCGTTTAAACATAATGCATAAAAGATGTAAGCTATGGTTCTTAAGCTCGTTACAAATCTCAAATTTTCCCTCTGACATGAATTTTAACCCAGGACTGTCCATCTCTATACTTAACAAAATAGTATAAATTTATTTCACCGAAAGATTTCAAAGTTCAACAGGTACTTATCATGTCTTACCACAAAATGATAAACAAAAGCTGTGGCTTTTCGACTACCCTGGTTGTTAAATGTGATCTATGACTATCATTTGTAGAAAAAATTTGATAAAGCAAAATTAAACAAATAACTCTTGGTATGAGTAAATGAAGCCCTGCAATGACATCTTTATTCCTTTCCCCTAAACTGAATTCTTAGCAACACTAATCAGTTTATATAATTATCTTATCCTTAACCTGTGTTTTGAACAGTGAACCTCACTGTCCGAGTGTTTTTTTCTCAGAGCTAACTTGCATGTATTAAATAAAACCAATCGTCTCTGATTGCATCCTCACATCTATAAACCTTACCTAATACTTTCAAATTCGAGTAATAATAAGATATTAACTAACAAAATTTGTCTTGAATAACTGACCTGTGATGCCACAAAATGTCATAAAAGCATGCAAAATCCTTACCTGATGACTCCGAGATTTTTCTGTGAAATGCAAAGTTAAAGCAACTGATGGATGTATACCATCGAGTCTGAACTGGAAAATTCAGTGAAGCAGTGGAAGTGCTAAAAAAATAGTTTATCATGTGTTTTCCAATCAAATTAAAATAGTTTACGTGGACTTAAGAGGATCCTTGTCTATCACTGTAAGAGGACAACATCATTATAAGCATAGGAAGTATGTAAGACTTATATGATAAGTAAAGCCAGAAATAGGTGCTAAATTACATTGGGAACGTGAGGAGGAAAAGGAAGAGGACCTCCATGTTGATGTGATTACAAGCTGATCATAAAACTGTATAAGTCATTTGAAATGATACAAATGTTATCTTGTTTCCATAGAAGTCAAATGATTTTAAGAGGTGTCGAGGAAGTTTTACGACAAATGTTACTCATGCAATTTATTAACCGAGAAATAAAGTGAATCAATGTTATTCACCTGAAGATAAAGATCAAAGTAAATAATATCACCCGGTAGTGACTTTCACGTGGTACTTGAGGCGCTTTGAGGCGTGCTTGTGTGTCACACAGTTTCGCAATAGCGGAACGAAGATTTGAAAGCAACGGAAATGATCCTGACACAGTTACAAACGTGGCTTGTAATCTGCACGCAAACAACCAACCATCTGTGTACATTTCATTCTCTTGATAAGGATTTTGAACCTTTGATAAAATTTGTAAATAGTACGTGACTCAAAACGGATGTCTAGAGGAAAGGAATGCTGTTTGCGAAACGATCATTTATTTTAAATGTATTTTGATTCAGTTCTTATGCCGCAAACGATAAAAAAAGCCTCTTACCCGGTCTAATTCAGTGCTCCTTAACCTTCTGAAAACCGCTGCTTCATAATTCTATTTCTATTTTTCAACACTGGAGCGAGTTCAAAAAACTGATTCAAGCTGCCCTATTTGTCACATGTACAAAGAGCCCTAATTGATAATTTTGACAAACTATTGACACTTCGCCCTTTCCAAATAAGCTTATTTTAAATTTAATTTGTAAGGAGACTCGTCAGATATAGACAGTCATCGGTGTGCCAAGGGAGGACACCTCTTTGAAAAAGATGAGCTATCATCGATTACCGACATTATTCAGATAAAATTTAAGACAAAAGGAACCACCAAAACAATTGCTTACACCCGCTTATTTAATACTGAGTCAGAAATGGCCAAAAAATAGCAATTACTTTTCCTCTTGTCGTCTATTCAACGAAGGGTATCTTTTCTTGTAACTTTTGTACCCTGTTGATTACCGGCAAACTTAATGGATGGTCACTGAAAATGCTTCATGCATGCAGTTCTTCTTTATTACATCACCAAAGAATACGGCCCTGACTGTTTCCTTTTTAATAGTGTATCTCGTGATTCTTATGTGATTCGACAATTGTGTGGCAAGTAATGTATGCTAAGTAGCGTTTGAGTCATGCGAGCCTTTCTGTTTACGTACTGGAATTGTGGTTCGTATAATCCACATTTGGGTTATTAGGACATGTCATTTTCATCTGAGCTCTTCTCATTTCTTATACGAAAGAATAAAACAAGTGAACTATGATGTTTATGGACCGTAAAAGACTTGCTCTATTCGATCAAAGTTCGCGGAGAACTTGTTCGACAAAAAGTTTAGTTACAATGTTATGACTCAACGTTGATAGTCAGGATAGAGTTTCTAAACTTAATTTCTCCTAATTTTCACATGTTACTGAGCAAGTATAAAATGAGGTTGATGATTTATATTCACCACAATGAATACTTTGAAAAGAGGCACAATAAATTACAAACAACCGTTTAATCTGTTTGCCGTCTCAAAGGTCGGTCAGTGTCATTTAAATGAAATCTTTCCTCGTTTTCATTTTAATATCAATTCTTTAAGGAGAAAATCCTTTTATCAAATCTCTCGAGCGTCAATAAATTATGACAGCAAGATGCTATGGTTGTTTCGTTTTCAATCTCACTTCGTTTAAATCAGTTTCTCTGTTCTTTTGTGACAATAGTGCTTATTGACGCATCATTGCGCGGGCGGATTTCTTTCGTCACTCCACGAACAAGTTATATTCGTTGTAAACGGATCGTGTAATTTTGAACGACTAGTAAATATTTAGTTTTAGACTTCCACTCAAGTCACAACTTTTAAGTCTTAAAAAATTTTCTACCAGATTATAGTTCTTGTTGGTTAAAATATCAGATAACCATAACACAGCCACCCTAGCAGCATCTCACACGAAAGTATGTAAATGTTTACGGGAGATGCTGTTACTAAGTGAGACGCTGGTCACACGCCATTAAATTCTCACTTCCTAAACAGTCAAAAATGACCTTCATTCTTAACAAAATTAGGTGATTATGTAGGAAATATTGAGAGCTTTCAGAAAATGCTAGTAATTTTTCCGAAAACATAAACAAAATCTCCAAAACAAATACTTTTGGCTATGTCTGGTGTTTACCCAGCCGTGACATTCATTCTTTCATTTCAATGAACAGTTCTACTGACGTCATCAACAGTCGGAGTAACGTCGGAGCGACTCGTTTGACGACATAAGTGTTTCCGGTAATAATCGTCGATGAAAATAAAACTATATCAGTCTCCCGAGCTTTCAGTCCGAACACATGTCCGAAGCGTTCGTGTGATCAACTAGTACTCAACCAAAGAAGAATCCAAATATGTTCATACAAGTGCCAGACTCAGTGAACAAATCCATTCGAAATGGAATTAAACCCCGGACTGAGATACACTATCCAAGCACTTCTTTAGGAAATCACGATCCTCGAACTGTTTGCACGGACACTGGCATCGTTGGGTCACGGAATACGATCGACGGAGAACTTGAATGTGTGGTTTGTAGAGCAGACCGTGTTATCATGCCCGCGGCTGCGCCAAATTACATAACGTGGAGACCACCACTGCTTCCCTCACACCAAAAGTACAGATGGTCTAGAGATTATCGTGATGATCTACTGTTAACAACATGCAGCGCTCCGCCAAGACAAAGTGATACAGAAAGTACGGCACAGAAAGTTGAAGCAGCACAAGAGGTGGAGATGCCTGCAAGGAGGGGTGAATGCAATGAAGAAGATGAAATTGAGAGTTTAGAATCACCGCGTTCGTTTGCCTCTTCCGGTTCAAACAGCAGTCGAGATGACTTATTGGCGCAGTTCCCTGAGACACAGACCGCAGCAGGAGCACATACACCTGTTACAAAGTCGCGTACACAACAGCAGAACCCCTGGGGAAGGGCCTCCTATTCCGACTTGATCACAATGGCCATCACATCCACAAACAATAACATGATGACTTTGTCAGATATTTACAGTTGGATTGTCAAGAATGTACCATATTTCAACGACAAGGGGACTTATTTATCAGTTCAAGGATGGAAGGTAAGCTAAAAATCAGTCAAGTTGCTATGCCTATCCACTGACGCTTTGATGTATTCATTGGCGCTTCTATTCGCGGTTGCTTCTGCATGTTTAGCTAGTCTTGCAGCTATTGCCCTTTTCATATGTCCTTTGAAATGGAAACCTATTATAATTAAGGCTTCAATTCTGTGAAAATAAATTACCAAATGTACTTAACAAACAGTTTTTTTTACAAACATTATAAGACAGAGAGAGATGCAAGAGATCGAGTAGACCACTGGTAGACTATAAAAGAGACTTCGTATTGTCGATGCCGTTAAAAACTTCGATATCCTCTTCAATTTTACAAAAAGCTTTTGTCTTCAATGTGTTTGCTTCCGAAAGAGCGTACTTTTTCGTTCTGTCAGAGTATCATTAAGGTATCATAAAACTCGAAAGAATGCGGCTTTTGTTAAAGTGTGTATAAGAGATGCTATTTAAGGAGTACCTGTATAACATGGTTACTATCATTCAAATCTGAATGAATCTAAAGAAAAAAAATAAAAGTTTGGAACAAAAGTACACTACTGACAGATATGTGGAAGCAAAAGATAGTTCAAAATGTAACACATTTATAACATGGCTAAGACAAATTCAATTTCACGCAACGATTGCTTAGCAAACCGCCGGAGATATGTTCTAGGTTAGTCACTGTCAATTAGGACCTGAGGATACAATATCCCTTGTTTTTCGTGCAAGAGATGTTTCCAGATAAATTTCCCAATAAGTGACGTTTTTTTAACGTTTAGATCAAGACTAAAGCGAATGTCCGCCACCTCTCGATTTAATATCATGCCTATCTTCTATCTATTAAATTTGGTGGCCACGATTTGACTCGAATATCTGAAGAAGAGGACCATCCGTGACGGTAAAAAAGCAGTTTTGAACTGAAATCGTAGCAAGGTCAAGCAAAAAATAAGTCATCAGTTATTAAAGCATATTATCACCAAGTTATCCTACCCAAGCAGGATAACTTGATGTTTTAAACCTGAAATTAAACCCAGTTTAAACCTCTTGCAAACAGGTTGTGGGTCTCTCGTGGTCTTAGAGTTGGTCCTCCTTGGATATAGTGTTTCCGGAAAATTTTCATAAACCTCCCTCAGTGTGTATTTATGTCCCAGCTGAAAGTCTTCCTGTATTCAGCTGTCTCTCAATACTAAAAAAGGAAACAGATATTTGCTTAAGTAAGCCGACTATTTTCTTTTCAGTTCTTGACACTCTAAATAAAACATGAATTTGCTATCTTTACCAATATGAAGGATTTACAAGTTCAGTACTCGAAAATGTTTAGGAATTACTTTTGTTCAACTGACGCCATTGTTCTATGGTGCTTGGAAACCGCAGATTGTTTCCTGGCAGATTGATTTTCCTCTTTTTTTGTTTCTGGCTGATAAATAGTCTGTTCGCATTGTCAGGAGAAAGGAAGGAAAAGGCTGAAGCTTTTCTAATCTCTAAGAAAGCAAAAACTTTTTTTTCCATCTAAACTGGTACTGATACATTGAGTGCGACATTTTTTAATGGAAGCACATATCGCGGAAAATCGCGAAATATGCTTTTTATGATGGACGATCTGGGAATACGTTTACAGGCTGATGATTTAGCCTCTTTGGTTTTCAAAATAGACAAAAGGAATACTGCTGACTCAATGAGAACAGATCAAAGAGGAACTTTTGAACAGCACCCAATCTCACAACGACGAGGCAACAGTTCCTGCACTTATTTCGACCTCTTATGATAACTAATGTGTCGCTCATTTCAAATCAATGGAAATTATTCCCTACTATTATTATTCAGACAAATCTTGGGTGCATCTCGACTCGATAAGGGATTTACTTCTTTTAAAACCAAAATCAATTCTCAGCAGTGAACGTGTTGTTATTCATCGTCAGAAGAGTGCTTTCTTTTTCTCGTTTAAGCACATAATCGAAGTGCTTTATTGGTGCTTTACTGAGGTCATTGTGAAATATACTAACCACAATTTCTTTCTTTGCCAACAGAATGCTGTTCGTCACACTTTGTCACTCAGAAAGCGATTCGTTCGTGTTCCAGACCCTAAGCGACCATACAAGTCAATGTGGACAATTTCCAGTGATTATCAAAGAAATCATTTGAAGGAAAAAAGGAGTCAATTGGAAAGGAAGAACCCACTGAAGAACAAAAATGTGAGCGATAAGGAAAGTGATCAAATGGCTCAATCAATGGATTTTGAAACAACCAGTGAATTTAGTGGAAGCTGTGCCTCACCAAATCAGAGCCAAGACGGATTTTAAGTTAGAGTTATAGATGTTTAAAAAAAATTATTCAAAGCTTACTTATAGTACTTACGCGCATGCATTGCATAGTTTTTTCTCTATCATTATGCTATAACAAATGCTTATTTTCATGTACTATAAACAGAAGTAATCAAAAGCGAGTAAAATAATAAGAATATATTTTTTTTATAGCCACAATTGTAAAAAGGGAAAAAAATGAAGAAGTTTATCCAAATTTATATTTTATGTATGTGTATAAATATCAAGTAAAATAATTCTGAAGATTACATTATCTGATTACCTTTTATGAAAAATTTGAATAAAAAATTTGCCCCAGTCATGATTCATTGCCATTCTTCATTCAGATTATGGAGTATTTTGAAGTGTTGGTCAGATCGGAGAGAGAAGTTCTCTCCATTTGCACGGGGTATTCTGGTTTAATTATTTGATGTGGGAAGGCACTATTGTATGCCGTATTTGAGTTAACAAATGTCGAAGGAAGATTTCAGGGAAGTGGGGAGTTATTTTTTAGATTGCTCAGTTCATGCGTAAATCAGCCTCAATTAGGGCTCAGTCTCAAAATGTGGGTTTCAGTTGACCTGCAGTAATGGAGAGTGTGTAGGCATGAGTGACCCAAAATGCCCACAGCTTAACACTGACGTGATATGTAAGAGAAAAATAACAAAACCACGAAATACTAAAATATGTAGGACTTTTACACGAACACCTAAAGAGGCATCCTTCATTTGGTAATCTTTAGGAGTCTCGTCCACTCTGGCATTCCTTTTTTCTTTTAGTTTTATTAACTTAATTCTTAATGCAAATTGGCCACCGTAAAGAGATCAAAGCTGACGTTTCGAGTGTTAGCCCTTCGTCAGAGCGAAGGGCCGGAGATGGGCTAACGCTCAAAACGTCAGCTCTGAAAATCTTTAGGGTGGCTTATTTACATTATCAACTCAGTTGATAAAATCAAAATTATCTTGTTATACTCCTTCACCGACGTAGCACCACAGTTTCTATAGTAACTTACCCCCTTATTATTTTTTTTCTGTCGAGAGAAATACAAATTTTAAACGTGAATGAATGAGCAGCAATCTGTACGACTGCCCTAGCTGTGCAAGGGTTGCATAACGCTATCCACTAGATAAGTCTATATCCGATGGAAAGCGTTATGCAACCCTTGCATAACGCTCCACGTTTTGCTATCACTTATTCGCTGGAAAGCACTATCCACCCTTAACACAACTGGACCATCTGGGTTAAAACGTACCTATATTTGTAAATAAGCACTAGTGTCTAGACAGACGTTCCTCTTATCATACAAAATACATCTATATGACATTTTTAGTACTTTGTATTTTGAAGCCTTTGGATTTTTTTTCCTTACGCATATACATTTTTTATTTGTTTGCAACTTTAAAATTTCTATCACAACCAGCCAATCTCTCGCCCACAGCGAGACCACAAATAAACCATAACAACGCAAATGTTATGAAAATAACGCGAATACATAAGCTGGCTGACCTATAATCCTTCCTAATGTCAATGTGAACCGTCTAGAGTATTCATGTTGCAAGTGGAGGTAAACATGTCAGAAAACATCTATTCACTTGAAGCTTGAAAGAAGCTAATGATACTTTTTTAAAATTTTGCAAATCCAAACTAGAATCCATATTAAATAAACTACGCTGTGTTTACCTTGAAGCGATTCTAGTATCAGGCCGATGAAAACGCGTTTCCTCTTTTTAGATAAGCGTAACAGCAATGCAAGGAATTTAGAGGCAAAAGAATAAAACCTGGTTGCTATTTAGAGCTGAGTAACCATGTTTTTGTGTCGTAGATGACGTCACGTTCGTTTGAAGATAATAATAACCAGTTTTTCTATATACTTCCTAAAGTAAGAACGTAATGAATTACGTTATTCCGTAAGTTGTTTACAACCTCAGGTTCTTTCTTATCTTTGTTATTTCTTTCAGGTTCATTCTTATGGGACAATCTGGAAGACCGAAGATTGGGTGCTGAGGTAGAAATTGTTTTATCAGAAGCGAACACAAAGACCAAACTTTACCCTTTTTGTAAAGGAACAGAAATTCAGTTAGGCCGTTTTTTCGCACACTAAACAGGCCTAAAGCAATGAAGTTCGAGAAAAACATTAAACTTCGAGAACCATATGATATCCGAGGACAGGGTTAGTCATTGATATCCATGTTTACTTTTAGAGAGATTTGGAGGCTATGCAAATGATTCGAATATTTCCCCAGGTAAGACTTTCTTTGATAGAAATTTTAACATTCTTTATTCTTCATTCAGTTGAAAAAGAAAATTAAAACAAAAGTTCACTCAAAGCTAAGTGTGTCATAATTTCTTAAACTGAATTACGATCCCTGGCAGTAGACAAGTGAAGTTTTTTCGAGAAAATTCAAACCTTATTGATTTTTAGGGCCTATTGATCAATGGACGTCTAACGTAGGCCGCAGTTTTAGATGATCAATATGCCTCGATTTTAGTAAGGGGTTTTTTAAAAGGGTAAATTAGCATTGTTCAAGTGTTAGAAACAAGACCTCTCAACAACATTCTCCAAAATCAATGTTTACTTGAAACGTTGGGCCAAAATTGGTAATGATTAATGTGCGGTTTTGCCCAAGGGTTAAGCTTTGTTTAAACAAGCGACCTTTGACGTTTTAGTAATATTCAGTTACTCTTTTTTCTTTTCAAAACAAGTCAAAATGCTAAGATCTAATTGGAATGAATCTACCAAGAAAAAAACTAATTTAAATTGAAAAAAAAGCGTGGAAGAAGGGCACGTAGTCAAACCGATAAAGAATGAAAATTGAGGCTCAAGATACAAAAATGAAAACCGAACTTAAAGCTGCCACTAACAATGAAGCAAGTATCTTTTCCTCCATGCTTTCGTTTTCGATAAGATGGTTGCACGCATAATTCAGCTTTATCTTTCTTTCTTGTCCTCTTAGTCACTGCCGTCAAATATATTACAGTGAGAGGGCTTCAAATTGGAAAAATAGTCTCCTAGGGCTACTGATTAATAGTATTTTATTCGTTGCATTAGAAAGCTTATTCAGGATATGTGAATCCAATACATCCTTCCCTCTATTCCTTGATGAAAAGAGATACTTTCAAGCAACTTATCAAAGTGGAGACTTAATGATATCTTTCCAAGCTGAACATCACAGAACAGCAACAGCAGGTGAAGAGAAATCGCTTCTCTTGCCCAATTTGGTTATCTTTTATATCCCAAGCATCACAAGGCGGCCAAAATTAGTACCACTCTACGAATAAAACTTTTATTGCTCAAAATTCAATTCTACGATCCCAACTTTGAACAGATGCTCCAGGGCGCTCTCAATTTTAGGAACTTCTTTTTCTCAAGACTACAGGGACTAATGCAGCGATATAAAAATAACTCTTTATGGCCGCCCCAAGCGAGGAAATTTAAAAATAGCTCTTATTATCTCTGTGCTAAAATAACAACATCTATTCCCAGAAAGGCCTGTTTTATTTTTTTAGTTTCAGTCGTAAACTAATCCTTAAGTGGTCATTAAATCGAGTCAAGGTCAAACTGATGGCCATGACTAATCGGTTTATCTTTCGCTCTGACGAAGAACTAACGCCAGCTTTGGAAACTTTTTACGGTCGCAAATTTACAAGCATCAACTTAGCTGATAAAAAACCAAATTATCTTCTGATACCCCTCTCCGACGCAGCACCACAGTTTTATTTAGAAACATACCGCCTTGAAAGGTTTACCGGTCTATTTTCGGTGGACCAGTGGTATTTAGGAAGGTGTTTAGTTCTCATTTCGTTGCTTTAGAGCCTTTGGAAGCCTGGTGTTTTTCACAAATTTTTATAGATGGCTTTAGAGTTAAAATTTTTGGTTCACTAAAACGATCTTTGTTCTTTAAGTCGCTCAAGTTCGTTCTATTTGTTGTTTTCTACTACGGTAGTTTCTGTCTGCAATTTGATCGCTTGAATGTATTCTCTTAAGTTAGGTTAGGAGGCTGCTAAACTTGTCAATATCTTCTAGTTACGCTACATTACAATGCCGTCGATTTTCAGTGCATATCGGAGATGTTCACAGGCATACAAAGGTGTTTGATATAATTTAACATGTTCACTTATCGTTGGCTTTACAAAGATTTGGTTTCAGTGACGACCTTTTGGCAACTACGTCGATCGAGTAGTTTCGAGTTTCAACATAACTAATTTTATACTTGAGTCCACTTGAAGGGTAAATAAAGTCATCATATAACCTTAGAGTCCAGTGGTATGTAGTCTGTTTATTATCAAAATCACTGACTCAAGTGTACTTGATAGTAAAAGAACAAAAGGGTTAGGGTTAATTGACTCTCTAGAAAAACTCCTTCACAGTTTATTTTTAACGGTAGACTATGACGCTTTTTCGTAACGGGCTGACCTTGACGCACAAGATTCTATTTATAAGTCAATCGTACAGTTTCCGTAAAACATTTAATTAAGTACCGTATCCTTGCTTGCTTACGTGATCTGTTGTGTTGTTGGGCGAGGTAGGAGGAGGAAGAGGTTAGCACGAACTCCAAGGTTAACCATTGAGTTGTTTTTATGTTTTTGCTCGTTAAGTGGTTTGGTGAAAAGTCAGTTGCAGCAGTTTGGGATGTGTTTTCGATGGTTCAGGGTCGGTTTGTTTGCTACGTGATGTAATGTAAATTGTTTTGTACTGTTAGTTTGATTGATTTCAACGATGTTTCAGTGGGCGATAGAAAGGATGGATGGCCCAACGATTGTTTAGCGGCTTGATTTTCTAGTTGGTTGGTTGGCCAATTGTTTGCTTATTCGCTTGACTCGTTCAAATAAGGTGTGCTAGCTGAACTAAGAGATTTTCAGTCCAACAAAGAGAGGCGCAAAACGAACTTCACTAATGAACAGCCTTAATCATTGCGATCAGCAATAATAACGAAACTGGTATATTTGTACTCGTGTTTAATATAACTCATTTTTGAATAAATGAAATGAAATGCAACTATTTATTCATCTCGTGCACACGGCTAAGCCTGAGTCGTAATTAAGAGTGGATCGCTAGAGACTTTTCGTATGACACTGAGGAAGTAAAAAATGAGACTAGCTCGAAAAAGTTTATAACTAGGTTTATCACTTGGAGATTTTTTGCGGTAATTTTTTTTCATAGCAGTTCCCCTGAAAGAATCAGCCACGTTTTTGGTATCATTCAAAGGCAAAAAATACAAGTTATTTCATC